CAACGTTTATTTATTTTTGGGACAGAGAGAGACAGAGCATGAACGGGGGAGGGGCAGAGAGAGAGGGAGACACAGAATCGGAAACAGGCTCCAGGCTCTGAGCCATCAGCCCAGAGCCCGACGCGGGGCTCGAACTCACAGACCGCGAGATCGTGACCTGGCTGAAGTCGGACGCTTAACCGACTGCGCCACCCAGGCGCCCCTATTTATTTATTTTTGAGAGAGAGAGAGAGAGAGAGAGCGAGCTGGTGCACATGTGAGTGGGGGAGGGGAAGAGAGAGAGAATCCCAAGCAGGCTCCAAGCTGTCAGCCCAGACCTCACTGTGGGGCTGGATCTCATGTACCATGAGATCATGACCTGAGCTGAGATCAATAGTCAGATGCTTAATTGACTGAGCCACTCAGGCTCTCCTCATCAATGACCTTTAACTTTAAACTCATGGCTCTATTAAGTATGCCACCATTAATGTGGCTTTGCTCTAGATCTTAAATCTGGACTTCAGTTAACTTTTCCACCATCAGTGCTCCTACGATCATGACCTAGGGCCCAGGGTCTATATTCAGATTTCCATCAATTTCCTTTTTTGACCTTGAACTCAGGTCTTTGAAAAAATTCTGACATAACAGATTGGGCTCCTCATTGATACCCATCTGGTTTGAATTCAACCCTCATATACTATCATTAGTCTTTCTCTATTAATACCTTGTGCCCCGACCAAATCTTCCACCACAATTGACCCTCTGAATGTTTTTACATGGAAAAAGGAACTATGCAGATATGAGTAAATTAAAAAATCTTGAGATGGGAAGATTATTATGGATTATCCAGATAAGTCCAGTGTAATCACAAGGGTCCTTATAACAAGGAAAGAGGAAGGTCAGAGTCAAAAATTGAGGTGTGATGATGGAAGCAGAAGGACACAGTCATAAAGAGATTTGAAGATGCTACAATGCTGGCTTTGAAGATGGAAGAAGGGGTTTTAAGCCAAGGAATACAGTTGACCTCTAGAAGCTAGAAAAAGCAAGGAAATGGATTCTTCCCTAGAGCCTCCAGAGGGAGTATGATTCTGCTACTACCTTGATTTCAGCCCAGGGAAACTCACTGGACTTCTGACCTCCAGAACTATAACATAATAAACTTGTGTTGTTTTAAACTTGTAAGTTTATGGTAATTTTTTAGAGCAGCAATAGGAAACTAATACAGGCATCTTTGAAAAATTCCACCATTGATGCCCACCTGCTCAACACTCAAACCATGTCCTTATTAACTCTTCCACCACCCACGCCCCTCTGTGTGACCTCAAATCCCAGCCATTGTTAGCCATTCCACCATCAAAATCCCTTATCTATGTCCTCCAACCTGGACCTCTATTAACTTTTCCAACCTAAATCTACTCTGATTTTATCTTGAACTCAGGCATCAGTTATCTATTCTACCATTAACGGGTTTTGATCTAGATATAGAATCTAGAGCTTTAAGGGTAGAAAGTTAACAGTCCCTTTGTGTTTGTGTATTATGCTTGGATGTCTGTTCATTTCTCCACTATCGGGGCAATTTATGTGTCAATCTTTTTTCACATTGTTAACTTTCCCCCACTGTTGCCCTTCAGCTATGTACATTGATGGCAGCCTTAGTTAAATCCTCCCCACCTGTCTTCTTTTAGTGTGTGCTGAAAAATCAAACCGATGCTAACTCTTGTGCCATTATTGCCCCTTCTTCTTTTTTTTTTTTTAAATTTTTTCAACGTTTATTTATTTGTGGGA